TTTAAGCTGCTATTAAAGACCATGCAGGAAAAAGGTTGACTATTTATGGACCAACCTTGAATGTATTTTCTGGCAGCCTCAGCTGCCAGAAAGAGTTGCATCCGCTGTGGTTCCACGGTTTCGATGTTTAATCTCACTAACTAGTCTAGATGATAACTCACCATGCCATTGATAAGTGCACGTGGGTAAAGGCGAATCTAATCATGTAATGGGAAAACAGGAAGAAAGAACTGAGATAGTAGTCTGTTTCCTCCTTAAGCGACAAAACAGTATTTAAAAGATATAAATAACATAGTTGCTACCTAGCAATTTATTAATTCAGATCGTTTTACCATCATTTCTTTCTTACAATAAAAATAATAAAGCCAAAAGCTGTTATTAAGATAGAGAGATTTCATATGTGAATTCCATGATTTTATGGCTCTGGTTTGTGTTCCATTTTGCTTTTTTTTTTTTTTTTTTTAGTCATTTGAGAGAGAGAGAGAGAGCATGAGCAGGGGAGAGAGGCAGAGGCTCCCCATTGAGCAGGGAGTCTGATGTGGGGCTGGATCCCAGGACCCTGGGATCATGACCTGAGCCGAAGGCAGATGCTTAACTGTCTGAGCCACCCAGGCGCCCCTCCATTTTGCATCTTTATGCAAAATAGTGGGCAGTGATCAAATATACAAATAAAAGAGGCATAGAGAATTTTACGGCGCTGTTCACTCCTTCAGTCACCACTGTTGCTTGGCGTCTATAGTTCCGTCTGTCATCTTTACCAGTCACGCTTGTTTTGTAGTTCTCTTTTTTCAAGTTTTGGCTGTAAACCAAAGAAAAATTAATCTGATTTCTTGTTCTATTTCCTTTTTATTAAAATCTTGATATCAAAACCTTTTACAGTCACTCAAATATTACCTGACCACGTAAATAAGTAAACCAAATGCACACTTCTAAAAAAAAAAAATCCATAAAAAAAACAGAAATTGCACTATTGGGGTGTTCTCAGCAAGAGTAATACATCTTGACTACAATAGCACGTTCAATCACTTCCTTAATAAGTTTACCATTTGGAGAAGGACAGTATTTCATTTCAGAAAAACACATTTCACCTGTCCTTTGTTTTTGTTGTTTGAATTAAAAAATTGAGTCTCCACTTTGACAGCAGAAGTATCAAATATAAAAGCTGGAAGCAAACTTTAGAGTTGGTTAATCGAGCTGTTGAATCATGAAAGCTAAAATATGGAGTTCAAATAAGAAATTAAGATCTATAGAAGCTAAAGAATATTGTTCAACATCACAAAATCATATTCCTTTACCCAGAAAAACTAAAGTGAATATGAATCAATTTTGAAAGGCTGTATATTAGACTTTAGGCCCAAGCTCTGACCCTCTGTTTTATAAGTGAGAGCTTTATATAATAAATAGTTTTGATTAATGAATAATTAAGCCTTCCTGTAATGTGATCCAAAAACAGCTGATCTCATGGCAAAAGTTAATTTTACAGGAATCAATGTGTTCTTGAAAGAGGTCAGTGTCCTGCCCCTTGTCAATAAAGTACGCTTTGTTATGCAGCAATTATTTCTTTGAAGTTAAAAACTGTGATGCATAACTATTTGTGGTATGGATAGCTACACATTTATAGGGTCACCCTAAGATAAAAGTTTTACAACTGTGTTTTGCTAAGGGAAGAAGAGCAAGTTGCTGTTTATAGTAACACTCTGTAAATAGTCCATAAATATTTGTTGAAAGAATGACTCATTAAGAAACAAATTCAAGTGACAAGATGAAAATCTAAATTAGCCTTTAAGTTATTTGTGCCAGGATCAAACAAGCACATAAACTAGAGATAAGTTTGAACGTACTTTGAAGGTCTAGTCTTGAGTAAGATAGAGTGACTTGGAAGAGTGAATAAATATGATCAAAAATGACCTAATAAAACAGAAGAGTGTAGGAATAGTTCCATGTCATCTAGGACGCTAGGGTCCTAGTTGGGGGAATTTGCCCCTTGAGTGATCAATCCTTGGCATACAATGCCTACCTCATCTCTTGCTGTGTCTGCTCCAGGAAAATGTATTCATATGCTATTTTTTTATTTCCACTTTTATTGGTCTCATGACTAAGAAGAGATAACTTACTATATTACCAGTTGTCCAAAATTCATCCGTAATTTAAGCTTGGCTCTAAGTAAGAACTATTTATTTCTACTTGTTGGGTAAGAAAAAAAACATTCATTTCTGACAGGGCTACTCACTTGGTCCCCAAACGATTCTTTCATTTCTTGAGAAGGTATTTTTCCTGTGCTTAGTGAACATGAACTTGGAGCTTCCTGGGCTCTGCCCACGGAATTACACTGTACCCTACTCGTCAGAGTCAGATTTCCAAAACTAATTATACTCAGCTCCCTCCTATTATTGAATGCTTCATCTCATGTGGGCCCTCATAATTTCTATAAAAGCATGCAATTATTTTTCCCCCAAATTTTTCTTTCCAGCCTCATGAGTTTCCTTACTTGGCCTGAGTGTCATGTACATTTGTCATTGTTATTACTAGACCAAAAGAAATGTAAATGTTTATGTACTCTATCTAAAAAATGTTTGTACAGGGGCGCCTGGGTGGCTCAGTTGGTTAAGCATCTGCCTTCAGCTCAGGTCATGATCCTGGTGTCCTGAGATTGAGTCCTGCATTAGGCTCCCTGCTCAGCGGGGAGCCTGCTTCTCCCTCTTCCTCTGCTGTTCCCCCTGCTTGTGCTCTCTCTCTCGTTCACTCTCTCTCACTCAAATAAATAAAATCTTTAAAAAAATTTTAAAAATTAAAAATGTTTGTACACTATTTTGAACCTAACCAGAGAGAGTTTACTCCAAAAGCTCACAAGATTCAAGGGAGGGCTTTCCTTTCTTTCTTTCTTTTTTTTTTTTAAACTGGATTGTGCCCCTCTGAATTTCAAACTCTGTAACCTAGCACGGCAGTTCTCCAACTGTACTCTAAGGACATTTGATCTTTTGAGATATCTGCAAGATCAAAATCATGCATAGGTAAAAGACCCATTCAGTGTTCTAGATAAACCAACGGATTTTATGTTAAAAAGAAATGTTTATTGAAATCTTTTTAGATTCTACATTGCATCTAACCTTTAAGAAAATACACTTGTTAGCTTTTATGTAAAAACAGATTTATTCACAGATATAATTCATATACAATACAATTCAAACATTTAAGGTATACAGTTCAATGGCTTTTAGTACATTCCCAGATATGTGAAACCACCTCCCCAATTTTAGAATATTTTTATGAGCACAAAAAGGAATCTCATACCCTATGATGATCATCTCCCTATTGTCCCGTCTGCCCCAGCCCTGGCAATCACTAATGTACTTTCTGTGTCAAAGGATTTGCTTGTTGTAGACATTTCATATAAACGGAACCAGCCAATACTTGACCTTTTGTAATCTGACTTTTTTCACTTAGTACAGTGTTTTCAAGATTCACCCATGTTGTGGCATGCGTCAGTACTTCATTCCCTTTTATGGCCAAATAATATTCCATTATATAAATAGACCACATTTTGTTTATCCCTTCATACATTGATGGACATGTGGATTATTTCTACCTTTCAGATACCATGAATAATGTTGCGATAAACATTCATACACAAGTTTTTGTATGGACATGTGTTTCCATTTCTTGTGGGTATGTCACCAGGAGTGGATTGCTGGTTCATGTGGTAACTCGATGTATAAGTACTTGGGGAAACACAGAGTGTTTTTTAAAGTGGCTGCATCATTTTAGATTGCCACAAGCAGTATCTGAGGGTTCCAACTTCTCCACATTGTCATCAGAACTTGTTGTTATGTGTCTTTTTAATTATAGCTATCCTATTCGATGTGAAGAAATATCTCACTGTGATTTTGATTTTAATCTCCCTGATGACTAATGATGCCAATAATCTTTTTATGTGTTTATGATCATTTCCTCTATCTTCTTTGGAGACCTGTCTATTCAAATCATTTGCCCATTTTCTATTTATTCATTCATTTATTTATTTTATATGCATATATATATATATGCATGGTATATATACATGGTATATATAGATATAGATAAATACTGAGACAGTTCATGTATAAGTCTCTCTTGCTGTTCTACTGTTCTATCTTTGGCTGTTCAAAAGCTGTTCAGTCAGCCCTCAGTCCCTCAGTTCTTCTTCAGGAAGGATTTTTCTATTAATAGGTATAATTTGGAGTGCTCCATGGAGGAGGTGAGTCCAGGGTCTTCCTATATTGCCATCTTGGACCAGAACCACCTACTTTGCCATTTTTAAATCATTAGTTTCTCTTTTATTATTTAGTTGTAAGAGTTCTTTATAGATTCTAGATTCAATTCCCTTATTAGATACATAATTTGCAAAGATTTCTCCCCGTGTGGCTTATCTTTTTACTTTCTTGGTAGTGTCCTTCAAAGAACAAAAGTTTTCAATCTTCATAGTCTAATATTTTGTTTTTCTTGTGTTGCTTATGCTTTTGATGTCATATATATGAATCCATGGCAAACCCAAAGTTAGGAAATTTTACCCTTAATTTTTTTAGACTTTTTAGGTTAGATCTTATATTTATGTCTTTGATCCATACCGAGTTAATTTTTTGTATATAGTATGACATAAGAGTCCAATTTCATTCTTTGGTATGTAGCTCTGCACTTGTCCCAGCACTATTTATTGAAAAGGCTATCCTTTCTCTCACTGAATGACCTTGACACTCTTGTTGAAAATCAGTTGACCATAGACACGTGGGCTTCTGTCTGGACTCTCAAATCCATTTCATTGACTTATATGCCTACCTTATACCAGTACCACACTATCTTTATTACTGTTACTTTGTAGTAAGTTTTGAACTCAAGAAGTGTGAGTCTTCCAACTTTATTTCTCAAGATTATTTTGGCTGCTTCGAGTCCCTTGCAATTTGATGCGAATCTTAGAATCAGCTTGTCAATTTTTACAAAGAAGCCAGCTGTGGTTCTGATAGGAATTGAGTTGAATCTGTAGATTAATTTGGGGAATATTGCCATCTTAACAATATTAAGTCTTCCCATCCACTCCTTAAGTTTTGTTGTAGTTCCAAAAACAAATATCCATAATTATCTGAAAAGGCTACTAAGAGACTCTTTCTGTTTCCAAATATTTATCTTGCAAGGTTAGATTTTCTTCATTATTTCAGTCAAAATAAGATGCTAAGTGCAGAAACATATATGAGAATCCAGCTGTCTTCTATAAAGCCAGGTATTAAAGAGATTTGCAAAAATGTAAAATTATCTCATTAGGTTTTTGTTTGGGGAAATTTAATTATTTTTCATAAAAATGTTATTGTAAAAGTAACTGGGTTCTTCTTACTTTCCAATTAGTTAATAAATATTTTTAAAATTTCCTAGCTTAAATTTGAACATGGTGTAAGTATCAAAGGATATATAACCCATATAACCAAAATCTCTTTGGAATCTTCAATAAAGGGATCCTAAGATCAAAATGTGAACAGCTGGTTTAATACATTATGTCTTTTATTGTTGGGTCTGGTCTATTTTTTTGTGCATATCCTTTAACATTGACTATCCTATAACACAATCTTCACATCAATCGTAAAAAAAAAAAAAAAACTTGAAGTTCTTGCAACGTATCAAGCTCTTCCAAATCTCTAAGCCTTCTCATCTGCCAGTGCTTCTACCTGGATGAATACCCCATTGCTTTCCCCCATCTTCCTTATATGTCAAAACTCCTTCAAAACTTGACTCAAGCCCCAAATTGTCCAAATCTGCCTTCTTTCCATGTGACCAATCTGCCTGCTCCTTAGATTTTTGTTTTACTCTCTATAGATATTGTAAACTGCCTAGAGTAGGAAACTCCATTGTATTAACTTTCATATACACAATTAGCACATTATAAGTGATAATTAACGTTTGCTAATATACAATCCTATAATACCACAGAAAATCATTATACTTACTAGAAACTAGGCCCATAGTCTATGTATTATTGAATGTTTTTTATAAAAAGAATAAACCATTGCAAGTATAATTATTTAGAATAAAAATTTCTAGGAAAAAAAGGACTACATAAAAACATAGGGATTTTTCATTCATGAAATATAATCGTCTGATGATTTGTTACCTAATAAAGATAAACTAGCTTAACTGAAATAAATTACTTTTTGGAAAAATAAAATTAAAAATAGTACCTTCATTCACTTAATGGTATTGAATTATTTGTTTAACATATGGGGTAGAGGGCACCCATAGCAACCTCCCCTTTAACAAAACATATATGAATACTTTGTTATACGGATTTTTCAGGAAAATTATATCTCTGTATAGTCATAAAATCTCCCTTTAGCATAGAACTTTTAAATTCTTCAATATTCGGTTACAATAAAACTGTAAATTCGCTTTTTAGCTACATGATATTTTGTGAACAAGTTCAATGAGGTCAAATAAATACCAAAGACGCCATTTTACCATGGCTTGCAATTATATAGATTCAGATGTCTAAGATTTGAATTTGTGATGGCAAAATTACAACAGGCAATAACGGGTATTATACCATAATTAGCCTATGACATGGGTGTTACATCTCTCTTTGGCATAATAATGAGATTTGATGCATCTCCTCCTTTATAAATTTCTGAGAAGTCATTGGGTAGAATACAGTTTGAACTTTGATGGTAAGGAAGTAGCCTCAGAAAACAGTCTTCGGAAAGTCAGTCTTCTAAAGGTCTCATCATCGTGCTATGGGAGACAGAGCAATAAAGCATTTTGATTGGTTGAAAATTGTTATCATGTTTCCGGAAATGCACTATGATTATGAGCCCTAGGAAAAGGAAGACTGGGGATATTGGGCCAGTGATTAGACAATTTAAAGTAACACATAAGGGAAAGAACAAGAAGGCTAATAAAGAAATGAAGATTTAGAAAGGAAAACAGGCTTCTGTGCCTCAGTTCTCACACATAAGAAGGGCTTCCTTCCTCTATTCATTTCTTAATCTGCATGTTAATGAAGAACAGGGGTTACACCAGCTTGTTACTTATCAAAATTACAAATAAAAGAATGGAGTCGCCTAGAGTTTAGGCCCTAACTCTCCACTGATTGGGATAAATTATGAATTATAAAATCCCTCTTCAAGAAGATGGGAAAAAAGGAAAATGTGCTATTTTATCCTTTAATAATTCCTAGCTTTTAGACTGTCAGCTAGATAAAGAATTCTTAAAAGCAAGCTTGAAATTACACTTAGGCACGGTAGAGAATAGACAGTAGTCTACATGAAATTATTTTGGGGGTACTTGGGGATCTCCCCGAAAACATTTTCTCTATATACTTCATAATGTCTGAAATATTTTTCACAAAAAGCACTCTTCATTTCATAATTAATTAGGGGCAAATAGCATAATGCCCATATCTTTTGGAAAGATGGAATATTGCATAAAATTCATATGTTAAATAAAATAATATGAGATCCTTTGATAATTATAGGGAGGGGGTTTCTGTGATGAAGGATGCACAGAGGGATCACAGCAGAGTATATACAATAAAGCCAAAGGAGGAAATTATTGGGAAAAAAACTCATGATTTTGTGCAGGCCCTACATAAAATTCTCGAGTTCTACAACATGCTAAGTGCTACTGAGAAGTAAGTCAAGTCTTTCTCTTAATGTTTTTTTAAGATTTTATTTATTTATTTGACAGAGATAGCGAGAGCAGGAACACAAGCAGGGGGAGTGGGAGAGGGAGATCTTTCTCTTGATTCTCTCATACTTGACTGGAGTATTTGAAAATAAGAGTGCACATCTAAAGGTCAGTCATGGATAATAATGTATTCAGGGTCTCGCTGTGGACCTTAGTATCTTTTCTCTGATGCATGGAGCTCACCCATTTTGGCATCTTGTCATGGAACACACTCAACCACCTTCATAAGAAGCTGAGAAGCATACAGGACATAGGAAATGGAAGCCAGTGGGTTCCCTATTGACAGTACTTTTGTATCCAGATCCTCACTAGAGACAGCAGCAGGTGATATCTTTTATCATTGGCTTTCAGGAGGGACACTGCTGTGAAGGAACATAATATGTACTCTTCAACCTAGTGACCGTAATACAGAAGGGACTTGCTGGCCTGAGATAGAGGAGGGTTGCTTGAAAGCCATGTTTCTCTACCTTTTTAAAAATGATTATTATTACCTTTTAGGTATTTGTTCCCTAACAACTTCCCGTGAAATTTTAACACCAGAGATATACTATATCTTTGTTGATGTGCTCTCTGCAAATCTGTGATTTAGACACAGAAAGAGTAAGTTGGTTTTTTCCTCCCCAAGAACCAATTTTTGCCCCATGGAGGAAAATATTGCTCCCATCGAGAATGTTTGTTTTAAAGTAATATCACTGAATGTTATTATTGCACGATGCAGGTCACAGTCTCTTTATCCTAATTTGTGAAACTAGAATAGGCCATTAAAATTTGTTTTCATCCTTAAAAAAAAAAAAAGACTCAACACCATATTTATGAAACTACTGTGGAGAAATCATTTAAATTAAGCAATTAAGGAGAATGACTCAATTGGAGTTTTTCTGGCATGAAGTCAATTGCTGCGATGCTTTCACATCCTTCCCACTACTAGAACTTGAAAGAAAATGTCTCATGCCTTTAGAAATAATCTACATGTAATTAGTAAGATTTGTATTGCAAATACTCTGCACCCTTGTTGTATATCTTGTTTAGAATAAAGAATTGGAATTTCACAGAATCAGAGTAAACCAGAGGTAATCCTGCATCTAGGCTGGGATTGCACAGGGTTTGCGTGTTTAACCAAATTTATTTAAATGTTCTCCATAGTTATATTTATTCTACTACACGTTTGGAAAATAACATCAAGAAAAAGACTTTATATAACTTCTTGCATGTATGTGCAAACACACACATGCACACAAGAGTGTTCCATCCTCTCTTAGTAAATCATTTTATTTTTCTCTGAAATAACAAGTCTTACTTTCAATACCATGTAATGGTTTGTGCCCTTTACAAGGTAAACAAGTTCTTATCCACAGTTTTGCTTGGGAAGGGAAAAAGTAGGAAGCCTGCATCTTCTGTCCAGTGCTGCTCACCCTGTGCATTTATAATGTGTCTCTCAGCTGCCCCAAGGTGAAAATACACAGCTTTATGCCTTCATAAATGTATTCCCTCTGGCTTTTCAAAGAGACTAGAAATAAGTTGGGTATGCAGCACCCGTACTAATGAAAAAAATGCTCAAGTTCCTTACCTGAAACTTGAAAGGGAAGAAATCTGAAATGGGAATGAATGATTTCATCAAATTTTCAAACTGCTGTCTACTGATAGACTCAAAGCAGATACTCAACTATGTGCAGTTAAGCTAGGAATTCAGGCAAGCGTGGTTGAAATTCCACCCGCACTAGTCACTAGCTGTGTGCCCTTGGAAAAGTTTGCCTCATTTTCCTAGGCTTGGATGTTAATTTTATACGACTATGATAATAAGAGTGCAAACCTCAAAGGATGTCTGTGAGGATTGCAGAGTACAAACGACCAGGAAAATACCCTGCACATTGCAAGCATTCCAAGAGTACTTGCTATTGGTAATCATAATATTATCCTATTTCTCCTGGTTATTCTTGGATTATCCCCAAAAGCACCTAGCAGAGTGCCCTGTACACAAAGACATAGTAAATGCATGTGTTCATGAATTAATGAGTGTAATTATGATACAACTTTACACGATAATTTCTTCCTTCTTCCTCTAATTTTCTTCTTTAAAGACAAAAAGTCATGACTGTCACTATATCTGGAAGTACAGAGATTATTTTCATAATTATTTCTTTGACTACAGATCGACTATTCTATAGAGTGCTAAAAATCTCCACATTTAATGATGATTATCAAAAATAAAAATTTTCTACAGCTCAGATGCCAACTCATGTGTTTAACTATTTAAAATTAAGATCTTGGGATGGGAGTGAAATAAAACAGGTAATACAGATTTCTGTTATGACATTCTACAACTTCAATTTTTATGAATTTTATAATCCAGGAAATTGATAAATTAATTGGTTTTATGTCTCCCTGAAAATAGACTGCAGACTTAAAATGATGATTCTCAAAATGGACAGATGAATTGCTAGGGGACCATGTTAAAATGTGGATCCTAATTTAGTATATCTGGAATGAGGCCAGAGATTCTGCAAGCATGTATGAGATGCTATCTGCAAACCACAGTTTGAAAAACGAAGATCTAAGATTTTAAGGTATTCCATGTCACTCAAGGTGAGGAATAAATAAAATTGTTTTGAGCCACTAAGAGAAGATAAATTATAATAAAAAAAATGTAATTTTATCATCTCTTTGCTCCACAGAGCAAATTTTAAGCTCTTTCCACTTCTATCATTAACTATAAAAATAAAAAATGATGTTTTACCAATGGAGATTATAACAGATAAGTAGAAACAAGTGACAACTAACTGTGACTGGAAGACTTTTTTTTTTAGCATTCAGTAACAAGCCTGACAAAAACCCCAAAAAGCTGTACTTGAAAAAGATTACTCAACTGTCAGTTTTTAACAAAAACAACAGCAACAAAAAAAAACAGGAAAAACAAGGAGGAGTTGAATATTTAAAATCATGATTAATATTAGAGGGCAAAGAAAAAGTGGGAAATTATTTGCAATGTGTATGAAGGACAAAAAGTCTTCTTAATATACAAAGAGTTCCTAGATATAAAAAGGTATCATTTAAAAATGGGCAAATGCTTTGAACTGGTCACCCAGAGAAGAATGTGTTTAGATATAAAAATGCAACCATACTAGTAATCAAAGAATTGCAAATTTAAAATATAATGCTATTTTTCAGCTGTTAAAATGTGAGACTAAATCTTTTCGTTCCCATTTTTGTTGAAGATACAGTAAAATGGATGCTCTTACACAATACATTTTGGTAATGTTTTTTGTTGTTTTGTTTTGTGTTTTTTATTGTTGTTTCTTATTAAATTTTTAAATTTTAATTCCACTATTGGAATTACCTGTGCTTTCTTAATCCCCATCCCCTATTTCACCCATCCCTCCCCTCCCACCTTCCCTCTGGTGATCATCAGTTTGTGCTCTATAGTTAAGAGTCTGTTTCTTGGTTTCCCTCTCTCTCTCTCTCTCTCTCTCTCGCTCTCGCTCTCGCTCTCACTCTCGCTTTTTTCCCCCTTTGCTTATTTTTTTTTTGCTTGTTTGTTTTGTTTCTTAAATTTCACATGAGTGAAATCATATGGTATTTGTTTTTCTCTGACTTATTTCACTTAGCATTGTACTCTCTAGCTGTAATGTTTTAAAACCATTCAGTGATCTGTATCAAGGACCTTAAAATATTCATACACCGATTCATACACTAAAATATTCATACCTGAAGTTTATTGAGGAGTATACAATATTTGCTATTCAAAAGTAGAGGCTCTCTCTCCTTAGTCCTGCCTGGATGTGAAGAGACTAATTCCTAGTCTTGGTATTTGAGGTATTCTTCTACATTCATGCTCTATTTGATTTTCTGAAAGCAAAATAACATCCCCAAAGACTAGTCTGCTGAAGGTGGTCTTAGGATCAGGAATGATTCACTTGTCCGGCTTCACATCCTTTCAGTCCACCTTTTTGCTATGGCCATTGCTGCAGGAATCGGCTGCATGTAGATGGAACCTGACACTATCTTGCTCCCTCTCTACTCAGTTTGTCTCTTTTTCTGACCTGGAGCTTCCTTGCCGCCACCCTGTGGGACACCTCCATGAACCTACCCATTCAGTCTTTCTGTTGCTTGTGCAAGCCTGGATATGTGAGGGAGTTAATCTCCCATGGGATAACCTTAGGTTGATGGCAAACGAAAAACAAAATTTCCGTCAAAGATGCTGAGCTACCCACTGCAACTGTGGGAATTCCCAATCTATAAGCAGCAGAAAAAAACGCCAAACCTTATATATGGCAACACCCCTAATGAGGCCCAGCCATTCACTTTATGGCATGTTGATCACACTGCACCACCCTTACCTTGGAGGAGCAACAATTATCTCTTCCAGAATTGAAGTAATCTCTGGATAGGAGTTTGCCTTTCCTGCCTAAAGTGCCTCTACTAAGAATACAACTCAGAAACTTAGAAAGTGTCTGATTGACTTACGTGTGATCCTTCATAACATAACCTCAGACCAAGTGGCCCACTCTAAGAGAGAAGATAGGACACTGAGGGCCTCACTGTGGGATTCACTGGTCCTGCCATACAATATGCCAGCTTGGAAGCTGCTAGCCTAATAGAATTTTGGAACACCTATTAAAAAAAAACAAAACAAAAACAGAACAACAGCTTAGGGCATCCTCTAGATGAGACATATATGTACTGGACTAATACCTGATATGCAGTGCTAGGACACCAATACCCAGACTACCTGAGTCCAAGAAACAAGGAGGGTAAGTAGGATGAGTTCACAGCATCACTTCATCCAGTGATGATTTTGTGGAATTTCTACTCCCTGACCCTACAAATTTAGCTTCTGCTGGACTAGAAGGCATAGTGGCAAATGGGATTGGGGAAGAGAGGCAACAAGGCAAAGATTCTCTCTGTGAACACAGTAAGAGTTCTATTAAGGCTAAAGCTTTTCAGGTTATCTCATACCAGTGGAACAGGAGGCCAGGAAGGACATTACCATAGCATTGAATATGATCCTAAATACCTTAAGGAGGGGTTGCTGCCACACAGTGTGGGAATACAGGAATCTAACCAGAACCCAGGAGGTCACTGGAACATCTCTTGGTGTTTTCATGCTTACTGATAAATCTAGTGGGCAACTGTAATAAACCCAAACTGACAACATTAAAGCAAATAGGAGGTCCAAATCCTTACAAATCAAGCCATCTAGACTGAAGTTCTAGCCAGTGGTGCGAAAAGTACAAAACCAGTGATAGAGGATGGAGAAAATAAATATCACCTGTACCTTTTCAATCAGTTGTAGCAGTGGGGATAGCACATTGTTCTGTTAACCTTTGCATATTAAGTCATTGCGTGTATCCTAGAAAATTTTTGGAAAATTAACATAAGTAATAATGGGTCGTCAGCCAATGTGATTATTGATTATAGTGATTGATAGTGATTGAGAGTAAATTAAACAGTGACGCATTTTAAAAATTAGGTAATGACGGGTAAATAATACACAGATTAATGAATAGAAGAGAGATTCCAGAGATATACTTAAAATTATGTCAATTTACTATATGATGAAGGCATTTCATGTAATTAGGGAAATGATAGACTTTTCAACAGATAATATTCAGGTAACTAAAGAGCATCCCTCCCTCCTGCCTTCATTATTTTTAAAATGTTAAACAGATGAAAGATGTAAATGTAGCTATAATCTAATAGAATGTATTAGCATTAGATTTCCTATGCATGTATATACTATTTTCTTCCATATGCATATGCACAAGTTGATCTGCTCATTGATATGCTCTGCATATTCCTTTCTCTAATCTTTTCCATTCCATTGACCCCACATGCTTTCCCCAGCCTCTCCTCAATGATTTTAAGTCCAGTCTGTCTTCTATGGCCTACTTTCCTTCTCAGCCCTGATTTTTTTTCTTTTATTTATTTCTTATATATTTCTTGCCTCTCGGGCGCCTGGGTGGCTCAGTTGGTTAAGCATTCGGCTCAGGTCATGATCCTGGGGTCCCGGGATCGGGTCCCGCATCGGGCTCCCTGCACAGCGGGGAGTCTGCTTCTCCCTCTGACCCTCTTCCCTCTCGTGCTCTCTATCTCTCATTCTCTCTCTCTCAAATAAATAAATAAAATCTTTAAAAGCAAAACAACATATATATATATATATATTTATTGCCTCTCTGTACCTATTTTGTTTCATCAATAAAATAGTAATACCACTATCAAACTCAAGAGAGTATTTATGAGCATTAAATGAAATTAATGTGGGGAAACATGTTACATAAGTGATTAAGCACTAAAAAAAGTACATACTATTCATCTTTTGCTATGTAATACTTTGTTGTTTTATTGTCATTATTTCCTTTTATTATTTGTTGTACTGGTGTCAGTGTTATTTTAGTTATCATTTTGTGTACCTCCTATCTGCCTACATACTGTCTTTTTACTAGGTTGTCAGGGCTCTAAAAGATTCACTGTTCATCAGTGTATCTTCGACCAGCATACATAGCTGGCACTCTATACGTAAGAGATCAGCATCAATGATGTTGTTAGCGTAATAAATGCCGTTATACGATTGATTCTAATATTTGGATTTGAATAATTAACTGTTCTTTAAAGAATTTGAAATTTAAAAATTAAGAGATCAGAGCATAAATATTAATGCATAACAGACATGTGCTACATTAAGAACTCCACCAAAGGGGATATCTATCTATCTATACATACATATATATATATATACATATATATATATATATATATATATATATATATATATATA